CTCTCTCTCTCTCTCTCTCTCTCTCTCTCTCTCTCTCTCTCTCTCTCGTTTCTAGTTAATATTTCAAGTAAGAAAGTGTCAGGCTATGCCAACAAAGGCAAAAAGAGGCCAGGAATGAAGTGAGGGTGCACTTGGAGTTTTCTCAAGAAGAGGAGTCAGTGTAAGTTTGCCTGAGTCCTGAGTCTTCTCTGCCCTCTGTCTTCCCTGAGTGAACTTGATTCTAGCCATGAAACAACATTTATTTTTACTGCCTAGTGGTTTGTATGGCTGGGGTTCTCATTTCCAAATGCAATGATCGTAATTCAGTACCTGACTTGTCCATTTCCTGTTTTCTATCTTGTCTCTTTTTCTTCTGCAGTATTAGGAATTGAACTCAGGGATTGTGTGTACAATGCAGGTGTTATACCACTGAGCCAGAGCCCTAGTTGTCTTTATACTTCATGTATTGAGACAGTTCCCTTTTCTGTTTTGAGTAGGTTGCCTAGTCTGACCTTGAATTCACTTTGTAGCTAGGTGGGACATCTTTATGAGAATATGCTGTATGTCTATCTCTGGTAGAAACACCAAGTCCTTGCACAGCGTTTAGTAGTAGAGGCATGTTTTATGCTGTTTGCAGATCGAGCGGCAATGCCTTAGTCCATTAATGGTGCCATAACAAAATATAATTCACCTGGTGCCTTGAAAACAACAGACATTGATTCTTTATGGTTCTGGGTGCTGACAAGTCCAAGGTCAAGGTACTGGCCCATAGGGTGTTTGAGGAAGTCACCTTTGCTACGTCCTAACATGGTGCAAGGGGCAAATTTCTTGGGCCTGTTTTCATAAGAATGATAAACCCATTTAGGAGGGTTTTGCCTTCCTGACTTAAAACCATGCCAATGGGGCTTGGTAAGGCTTTAGCTTCTGAATGTCAGATGCACATGTATTGACTGTAGCACATAGCTGACTTGCCCAAAGGAAGGGCCATACTTTAAAAAGAGGAATAAGCCATTAGTAGACACACAATTTTGCTCATAATTGTTATGGGCAGAATTTTATTATTTTATATATTATATTCCATTTGCTTAATGTCTTCTTCTGTTGGTTTCACCTTTGTTTGTAATCTTTTTTTTTTAATTTTTTTAAATTTTTTTATTTTTGATTTTTCGAGACAGGGTTTCTCTGTGTAGCCCTGGCTGTCCTGGAACTCACTCTGTAGACCAGGCTGGCCTCAAACTCAGAAATCCGCCTGCCTCCGCCTCCCAAGTGCTGGGATTAAAGGCGTGCGCCACCACTGCCTGGCCTTTGTCTGTAATCTTATAGGTTCTATTTTCTTTTTGCTTTTTGTTTGAAAAAATGACAAACTGGTCATGGTGGCTCCCACTTGTAATTCCAGCACTCTGGAAGTTGAGGCAGAAGGATCACCAGTGTGAGTTCAGCCTAGGCTACAGAGTTAGATCCTGTATTAAAATACTAACTCCCTCCCCCCCAATATAAAAAAAGTGAGATAATGGACAAGGTAATTTAGTAACTGGGTTTTTCCATTTCTGGTTATTTTCCCTTCCTAGTTTTTTTCCTATTTTGTTTGTAGTACTAGGCCTTGAACCCAGGGCCCCACACATCTGAACAAATAATTCTATCATTAAGCTATATCCCC